AATGGAAGTAATCCCAACAACTATGAAACAAGAGATTCCTCGAAACCCAACTTTTCTTCATATATAATATAGATATGCAAAATATGCTGGAAATTATATAAACGATGAAATTCAGCAGCTGATCAAATGACAATATGATCACATTCAAATGATATAAAGTAGCCTTCGAAAAATAAGATAAGAATTCGATGTAAAAAGAAAGCATAAAAATCGGTGATAAACGAATTCGAGAAAAGAAAATGGTTCACATAATTTATTGATTTTAGATCTACAGTAATATTAAGTATAGAGACGATAAGGTTTTTAGAATTTAAAGAATATTGTAATTTGCATGTCGATAAAACAGGTTTAATAGCATTAATGAGTAAAGGAAGCTAAATGAGACTTACAAATAAATAATAATATCAAAAAGGCAATTTAGAACTTCTTTCCGGCTTCTTACAGCTTTTTTAAAATAAATAATAATGTTCAATATAGACAAAAATTTTATATAAGTCAATAAAAGCATTAAAAGGAATGAGATTGCAGCAAACTAAGTCCCCAAAATAAGAAACAAATCAAGTATGCGCTCTTTAGGTATAATACAAGAATATCAATGCATAAGTGAGGCTGCATTAAGGAAAAAGGTTTTCGCCATAAAGTATTACAGAATTGCAGAGGATATTAGTGGAATACAGGTCGTTTAGAAAATAAGGACTACGTTCTATCTATTTTCGATGTATGGTTTACATGCTCTTTAGCAAATAATTTAAATTAAATCGACAAATAATGTAGGGGTTAAAGTGTGGTGCAAGGTAAGCAGTAAACCTATGATAGAGTCCATTGCATAAATAACTCGGCATTTATTATTGACAAGAAATATTATCTATAGAGTAAAAAAGTTGAATCTTATTAAATATTGGCCTCACGATAATCAAATACCTTTGTCAGAATAGACTGAAAGTTAGGCCGCAAGGTAGCAGCTTCCGACTGAGGATAAATTTTCTCCGGGTCGGGTACAGCTGATGAGGCACCTAACGGTTGCTTTAGCAGGCCATCTGGAGCTTCTCTAGCATGAGACTGGATCGAGTCGCTGAGAGGTTTAAACTCTGGACCAGGACCAAAAGGCGAACTGAGGCGGACAAAAAGCTGAGGTGTAAGTGGAAGGAACTTGTCGGGTCTGATTCTAGGTATCAATTGTGCAAGCAAATGGTGAATACGTTCAATGCATGATGAGCTAATAGGAAGAGCTCCTGAAGGTAGGCTCTTTGAGCATTCAGCAACAGAAAACCAAAGAGATACAAGTCGACAAATCTAGAAGGCATATGAATATTAAGATGAGCAAGTATATGTATATGCGGATATGAATGGAAAGGATAAATGTAAATATATATGAAATGATATATGGATTATTAATGGGCATTAAGTGAAATATGGGTAAAGAAAAAAAAGAGAAAAGTCAATTATCTAGTGATATGAAATGAAAATAGGCAAATTGATTAAATATTTTGTTATGACTCAAAATATAATATAAGAGCTGATGAAAAATTGATTATCCTGAAGATATTAAGAGAAAACTAGGTCAAACGGTATGAGGACCAAAATGATGTAGACCTTAGGTTTGGTCGCAGTCTCCTCTAGCTGTATAGTGCTGGCTTGAGAGTCTTCTAAACATGGTGGGATCAAGGTCTCCTCTAGGTTACCGAAAAGAGGAACTATGATAAGAAAGTTAAGCAACATCTGCTTGGAGAATTTCATCATGCACCTTCTTGATGCAACCCAACTGGAGTATGTAGAAAGAATGCTAACAGACTAAGTAACAGCCTAAAATATGACCTATATGAAAAGAAACAGTTA